AGGTACATATGTACTGTTAACTGAACATACGGACAATTCTGTATTTCCTGAATCTTTTCTTGAACGTATTGATCTGTTCGTATTTCTTGTATGCCCGTTGCATTATTCGCTGTCGCCTATGGTGTAAGTTGCACGTAAAGAAATTGCACGTATTTACTGCAAAGCACCGTGGAAGACAAACAGTGAACAATTTACTCACTCCGGTGATCGTGCCTCGATTTAAGATTGACCCTTTTGGTATCTATGACGTCACATGTTCACATTTAACTACAGTTAACACTTACATTACACTTTCTACAAAACTTGTTTGCGCAGCTACCCAAGTGATGTTCGAACTCTGATGCGCGTGGATTATCCGCCAATACGCACAATACTGGGCACTTCACCAGAATTTCTCTATCGACGAAAGCGTCGTACATCATTTTACCACATTCTAGTTCTACAAAAAAAGTAAAATACCACTTATTTTCGAACTTCTCATTACAAAACATTTTGGGTACCTTCATTAAACTTTTAAATCTACCTTCTAGGTCACGGGCAATAGATTTCCCAAGTGCAACTGATGGAACAATATTGGAAGTGCTTAGAAAATGAATATTCTCCATTTTACGGAATTCCTTGCGTGTAAGGCCTGCCATGCTCATAGAGAAACTCTCCAACCGATTCCACTTTTTCGTAGTGTTCCCACTTGTTTCATCGCTGAAGACGAGCAATGGGACAACAGAGGACGGATTTTCTCCACCTGTTCGTGATTTATCCATGTGAACCTGAAGGGCGTCTTTGGCTTCCTGTAAAAAGTGTTTTTTCAAACAATGAGAACTGCATGTGAGTAAAGTTTAATTACATTACAAATGCAGTATTACAGTACCGAACAAACATCAAATTTTGGAAAACATATTTGAGGTTCAGAACAGTGATTGCTTCCACACACCTGCACAGATACTGCCATGGCTTGTCCGTTAACATACTTATGTTTGATTTGAAAATAATGAAGATCGACTTTAGTCTGGATATTAGAAGTAGGGATGGTCACATTAGTGTCTGGACATAAGCAGTAACTTCCATGCCCTTCATCATGCATGTATTCTACCGTCGTCATCATCGTCGTTTCGTTGGAGACAACCTGTAGAGAGAGTATGAACAAGAATGAAATGAGCACGAGATTCAGTTTAAATAGTATGCTGTGCTTGAGATAAGATGAAATGTTGAATTATTGATAGATATAGCTTCAGCCTGAGGCCGAAGGCCGTTTTTGAGACCACGCAGTTACCTTTGAGATCACGCAGTTACCTTAGTGAAGAACTTGATGAGCTTTCCTGTGTATACATCTCCGTTAGACAAAAATCTCACAATATCTTTTAGGAAATATAGCACTCCGTTCAAAGAAATTGATGAACTTTGAAAGTCATTATTTTCCAACCACTTGCGTCCCTGTTTAAAGGAAAAGTACTGTATAATAACTAAGAATATAATTATGTAGCCGATGTATATATATATATATATATATATATATATATATTTATCACATACTTGTGCCTTTATCAGGGCGATAACAGGGTGACATAAAAACGATATCGTCACTGATATCGCTTTTTGTCACTGTATCGCTTTTTGTCACTGATATCGCTTTTTGTCCCGCTGCATTTGCCGCTGTCAAAACAAAGATGGCTGACTCGAGCAATTCGAGGTTTGTTTCAGTCAATGTCGATTGCTTTATAGATAAAAAAGAAGTATGTGATAAACAGGTTATCACAATCGAGACGAGGTGATATCAGTTTTATCGCTTTCAGAACGATATCATAAATGTCCCTCGTTCGCTGCGCTCACTCGTGACATTTATGATATCGTCCCTCAAGCGATAAAACTGATATCACCTCGTCCCTCATGTGATAACCTATACATATATATATATATATATATATATATATATATATATATATATATATATATATATATATATATATATATATATATATATATATATATATATATATATATATATATATATATATATATGTATGATGATAATCATAAATATATACTTTATGATGATAATCTAACCTGAGGCATTTCATAAATGTATGTGTCAGTCTCTTCTGGGTATCTCGTAAGAGCGCTTGCTTTAGCTGGTATCGCAAGTTGAAGTCGAACGATATCTGAAGGCCGCAACCAATAATATGGATTACCGTTATAATAATCCTTGAAATAAAGATGAAATTACATAAAAATTGTATCCACAAGTGCTCACATGAATGCGATTGTTTTTCAAAATGGTTAATTTTACTTGCGCGCACACCTTTTGCGGTTGTAGCAACTCTTCGGCTTCTTCGATTTTAAAATTAAGAACGGAGTTCAGGGAAGGAACATCTGCATGAAGTTTCTTGAATATCATCCAGAGAAAATCCAAATCTGCCCGAGACTGAAAGTATACAGTCGATTTTATAAGAATTGCTTTTGCGTTAGATTTAGACGCAGGGATATATAGATTTCTGTGTATGCACTATCAATGGCTATAAAGTGGATAACGCTATAGCCATAATCCCTGACCCTAAAATGGAATCGCGAAAGCTGGAAGTACTAAAACCTGGACATTGCAAAGATTCCGGCTTTTTGTTTACTTCTTTTAGAGATTCGAGTTTCCTCATCCCCTCAAAAGTAACAGCAATATACGCACAATTATACGGGACTTTTTACTATACCAATCAACTTTCTCACAAAAGCTGCCCTGAAGCTGAAGTGAAATTTGCTTTTATTCAGAGAGACGTTAAAGTGGTACAAAGTTGCATATTTTTCAAAAATGAACTGCTTTGAGAAACGGCGCTTATGCAATATAATGCTGCATAAAATAATGCTTATTTGAATTTTGACATCTCTCTTCTCAATAACCCATATTACACGCGTAAAATGCAACAAGTTGTCGCAAGTTGTCATCAACTTGTTAAGCGAACAATGTTGCATCAACCTGATATTTATCAGCGGCAAAAACAAATATTCCAGTTTAAATCTACTATTCTAAAAATATTACGGAAAAATACCTTTGGCCTTGAAACGTTGTGCACATAGCTATACAACAAAAAAAATATATCCGACGGAAATGGAAAAGATGATCCGCGGCCGTGCTCGGATTGTCGAGGCTCGTTTTCTTCGTCGTCGTTGCTGCTTTCCTCGGAGTCGCTTGAAAGATCCTGAAAAATGTCGCTCAACTCACTCTCGGAGCTGCTCAGGTCCATAGCATCGTAGTCCGGAACGTAGGAAACGTCCTGGCTGTTCGTAAGATCACTATAAAAACTCTCAAATGGTTCAGAAACCAGCTGGATATCTTGCGTTTCTGAAGTTGCGAGCTCTTTCATGCGATGTCCTCGCGACGTTAAATGCACGGAAAACCTGTCCCACGACTCAAAGTTAACGAAACAGGTGTCGCAACGATGTCGGCAGGCTCTTTTTTTCATTTTGTAACGCTAACAAACGCGTAAAATTAACTAAATTTTTAATTGCTTTGAGCCCGTCCAAGTCCGCCCTGATTAATTCAAATTCCCCGCGACACTGATTGTTTGCTGCAATCTTTTCCCGCCGCGTTAAATTAGTGATTACAGCTTATTTCAAAGATTTTGATTGGTTCATTTATCAAGCTGCTGCTTCCTGATTGGTTAAAAATATGCAAAACAATAACAAAGCCCGTGCCAGTGCGCTTGACAGTAACAAAAGACTGCAATATTCAATTAAAGTTATTTGCTTTAGTTTTTTTTCAAAACGCGAAGGTTTTCAAGCTATTTTCAAGAAGATATGGCACAATACAACGACCTACGAACATTTGGACCTTCAAACAGGTGACAAAAAGTGTAATTCATTTTACAACTGGAGTTCGTTTTCATTGTATATACATGTCCTTTTAAACTCTGTAGCCGAAATGCCTTGCTCGCAGACGACGTCATGTTTAACCAGAGGACGAGAGGACCCTATGCCCGAGGAAACGTCCCGCAAAGCTTGTTCGAAGGTACGCAATATTAAAAATAATCATTCTAAATAAACAGTATAGAGTTATTTGTATGAGAGGTATAAGCATTCACTTTGACATCTCGTATTTTTAAGACGATGAAACGCAAGACCCCAATGAGGGTACCAATGACATCTTGTTAAGAGAGCTCCGGGAACTGAAAGACCTTGTGAAGGATGTGCAAAAGCGTCAGGGCTCTATAGAGAAGACCATGAAACACTTGGCTTCCAAACTTGGTGCTGAGCAATTTGACCTGGCCAAGTCAAGTCATGCAGTAAGCATTGGTTTTCCGAAAAACAAATGAAAATCAATAATGCATGATGTTGTATATTTCTCATATGTCTTCATTAATTAATGTTTAACAATAATTCAAAATTTATATAACAGGCAAATGTCACGAAAATATTAGCAAAAGCCTATATACAACTTGGGCGGTTTTCAAAGATAAATGAAAGCAAGACTGTAAGCCTATATCTGTATAACTGTATTATATTTACTTTTAGTAAATTCTATGTTCATTTACTATGAAAAATATATTAACTTATGTTTTAAACAGTATATGTAATGGTTTGGTTTTTACATAGGAGCAATTGCACATGGAGTTCCAGGACTCACCATATGGTCTTACAGTTGCTGAAGCGATGACCAAAGTGGATGTCTTCGAAAAGGCAAAATTCACCTATGGAGAGCAGAAGAGAGAAGAAGGGTATACATTTATAAATCCAAATTTTAAGTCATGATTGTAAATGATAGTGATGAAAATTTGAATTAAATGTACTCACTTTGGCTCCTTAGGTTCTTGGAATAGGTAACTGGTCTGCCCTTGGAAGGCCACAACCAAGGAGTTGGCTTCGAAAATATGTGGCCTTCTAGGAGTGAGGTTCAACTCTTTACTGGAGAAGTCTGTGCTTCGAGAAACTGCTCTGGTGGTATGATATTAATGCTTATCATCATTTGATGTATTTTGCACTCCTGCATTTTGAAAAGCCTTGTTAGTTATGACATCAATTCTTCATCAAAAGACATATATAATAAATGTACTCACATAAGCACAATATGCAACAAAAATAAAAACTATAGACATCTCTATCCTCATAACCATATGATACATGTATAAGCTAAAGAGAACAAAGTGATTTGAGATTAGACAATGATGAGTCAATCTTGAGCAATTTTCATTTTTTGACTATATATATATAATATATATATATATATATATATATATATATATATATATATATATATATAATATTATATATAATATATATATATATATAGTTGGATCAAATTATTACCATATTATCCTTCCTTTTCCCAGAGAATCTATGTTGCTGAGTATGGGAGAGATGACTGTAAGAAAGATGAGAAATTTTGGATTAACTTCCAAACATGGAAAGATACAACATATGGAAGCCGAGGCCCAACTGCATCTCAATGGGGTGAAATTTTAAATGAGGAATGAACTAAAATTATTAAATGTGTTGAATATTTTTTAATTAAATCACTTTTGTGATAATGTAAAATGAAACTATTTATTAAATACTTACTATAAATTTTCTTTTGTATAGTTGACTGAACAGAATTATCTTATAACCAATCCAAGTCCACCGCATTTTTACCAATCTATAAATATTAAATAATTATATGAAAATATATATTATGTGTCTACAGTACTTTCACTTTGAACTTTCGTACCAACGCCAACCGTTTCACACCAGAAAATATCTGAAACACGCATCTATTATAAGTTCTTGCCACAAAAACTAAGTTTTACCATATGGTTCATGCAACTTTAATACCTGATCAAATGCGAACGGATAACAGTTTCGATGAATCTTGCCTAAAAACAATACAAACGACTCGAACAATTGCGATTGCACGTGTGACACAACTTTAAAGTCGGCCTCACGGCCTGATAAAAAATAGGACGAACAAAATGATTTCTGTTTATGCAAATGCGATCGTAAATAGCTTCCATGTAGTTTTCGACTTTAATCAATATATATATTCTTGACAAACGACGAAATTGTTCGGATATTTACCAAAACGCACTGTCGTTTTGAATATCTGTCACACGTTTTGGTCTTTTGGAAGTCTGGTGTGCGTGCGCATCTGATTGATCCCAATCGTACCATCGTTAATCAAAATAAGCTCCCAATTATTCCCTTCAATCCCTTTGCAACCCTTCCGACTCTGAATTAATATTCAACGATATTGTTTCCGGTTGTTCGAACAATAAAAAACAGGTTGTTTGTTCATCAATATTGTTGACGCATGTTCGAACAATATTGTTGAGGCCTGATGAACGAACAAGTCGTGAACAAGTTGTTCTGACAGCATTTAACAAGCATGTTCCATCAACCATGTTGACGCCTGTTCCAACATGTTGCAACAAGTATTGTTCGTTCATCAATCGTTAACAATATTGTTCGAACATGTTGTTAACGATTGTTACTTCAACAACATTGTTCAATCATGATAACAATATTGTTGAGACATTGTTAATCGAACAATCATGATCAACCTGATCAATTTTTACGCGTGTATGAATGCAGTCATTGCACTTTGTCATTTTTGTGAAATCCATGGTCCTAGTGTGTTATTTTGCACGCAGGTATTAGATTCTTATATTTAATGGTTTATGATAACTTCGTGAGTATATATTGCTTCGAGAAAACAAACGATTTTATAATGTTTTGAAGCAACCTGGTTGATGCTAGTCACATGATCTTACAAAAGCTAAATCAACTATCTTCAATCCCTAGTGTCACAGCTAGTTTTTTAGGTAGATCATACAACTTGATTATTGTTCAATAGGCAATTTATTAGTAAATACAAGCTTGTTTACAGGAGGATTACAAACTTACAGTCGGTTCTGCTCATAAACAGTGGGTAGTCACACTCTCTCATATGCATTTAGAAGTATAGTGAACTGAAAGTTTGTAGAATATTCTTAAAGTTCTTGATATTTAGGAAATATTAAGTATATATATGGATTCAAGATGTAACAAAGCGTTTGTTAACATTATGGACTGACCCCACCTTTTAAGGGTCAGTCGATCTTGCCATGCTTGTAGTGTTTGCCTGCATTAAAATAGGAAACCAATACTTATGGTGATTGCCTGAAAAAGATGTCAATTTAGAACTTTGCTGTCCTTGGTGTTAATGTGGAAATCAAGTCCTTGTGCGGATCGGTTCTGATGATATTTTTCCTAAATTTTACATTTTCAAATTCTTCTCATCAAAAACACTAACTAGTTCATACAGTATGTTAGATATTCAGACAACACAACATATTTCAAAAAGTATAGAAGTTAAAACAGAAAGCCCTGCATATAACAAATACACATGGTGTTTTTACTAACTGATGATTTATGCCTTTCTATTGTTAGGCTTTTCATGATGATCCAGTGAGTAATTCTCTCGGGACACAAAAGGATGCAAGTAGAAGGTGTGGTTATTTTTCATTAAATTTGTGGATTGGGTTGTGTGACATTCACTTTTGTTTCAGACTATATGTATATACAGAGTGATTTGGTAAACACAGCTTGGACTAAATATAATATTATTTTGAAAATTAATGACACAAAATACAGCTTAGTTTGTCCTCAAAATACAACATAGTTTGTCCTGGGAGAATGTTGCGAGTCATTTCCAGCATATCCTAGCTGGCTTATTGACTTGTGACGGACTGTCATTGCAGGTCATCTCAGTCAAGTGCTTCTAATGTCTCACCATCAAAATCATCTCAACCAAAATCCAACCAGTGCGAGGTATGGTATTTTTCATATAGGGAATTAAGCTAAGTGAAGCTTATCTTGATGTTTCATATAAAATACAAATTGCCTTTGTAGGCATGCAGATCAATCCCACCTGACCATCCAGGTTTTTTGAGTGTGGATAAACATACAAGTGTTTCGTATTCCACAGTCGTAATCCAGCCCATCATGATGTGTACGTTGTTGTACGACAAGCATGTGTACGGAGGTATTTATCATCCTTACAGCTTAAGTTACATATTCCAGGTAATCACATTTTTTAAGGAAAAGACATGTTGTATTGTGAGAGATGAAACAATTCAAATAGTGTTCGAAATTTTATAGGCTTTTTTGTCGAGAAGTGTTCGCGCTTTTGTTCGAACATTAATTTTGAACGCATTCACAAGAATACGTTCATTTGAGTGCGGGTCAGCCTCAAACAGCAAGCAATTTATAATAAATTGCATATATTTGCTGCTAAGCAAATTACATACAGTGAACAATGACAAGACAATGACTCACTGTGATTACAGTGTCTTGGTTTCCAGTTGATTTCCATGAGTCAGCATTCCAGTTTACTTATAGTTCTAGGGATGATTATAAGCCACGTACTGCCTATTAGTTTTTCTGAGTTTAGTTTTCTAAGTTTTGAAATACTTGATAATAGCTGTATAACAAACAAAGCTAGAAACTTAACTTGCTGTAGAAATTTTAATTAAGACCATAGCTTCAAGTTGAAGGAAAATTCAGAAATAGTTATGTTAATTTACCGTTTTTTCTCCGTGAGTCAATTTTTATCTTTAAGATTTTTTAAGGTTAGCGCTAACCCTGGGTTAAATTTTAATCCAGTGTTTTAGTTTATGTGCTTCTGAATCACTGTTCGTTTTAAAACTTTAGAAAATATGATTTCTATCGGTCCAGAAAAGTATTTATGAGAAAAGATATTCAACTTTGTAAACAAGCGATTAAAAAAATTGATGTAAAGATTTGCTTTAACCCAGGGGTAGGCCAACTGGTTTTTAAGCAACTGGCCCAGAGATCTAGTACGCATTACGTAACACCGAAGAATAACAGAATACAATTTGAGGACCAGGATGTCTTTTTCTTTCAGCCTAAGTTGTGAAATATGTCCTGGTCGAGAAGGACCAATATTTTTCGGAGAGGATGCTAATGGATATGTTTTAAGTCACACGTTTTATCTTAAAGATTCTCAAGCCAGAGGTCTTCGCCGTTGGTAGGTATAGCACTGAAAATCGCAAAGTTTGAGGGTTTTATCTAATGGACGACTTGCGCTTATTTAGACTAATTTTTTGTTCAAAGTAACTAGAAGAAAATAAATCAACACAGCTAGAAAGATCTTACTTAAATTAGTGCAAATGCAAAGTTTGGCTGCGAAATTTTGTAAAATACGGAAAATATAGTCATGCGAAGTTGGCATATTTAATATTTTGTATACTTTTGTATTACGTGCGGAAATGTGTAACTGAATTAGTTAAAAACTTTTGGTCGTAATAAAAAAGTATACAAAATTTCGTCAACTTCGCATGGCTATATTTTCCATAATTTACAACAACTCCCAGCCAAACTTGGCAGTTTTACTAACATTCACGAACAAAACTGGTACAAACTAAACAGCATAAAACATCACCGTATTTAGCAAAATTGATGTCATCACGATATGACCATAAAACTATTGAGTTTAGTAAAATTGCCCTGTGTTTTATCCAGGTACAGCATTATAATTGTTATGATGGATCGAATATACCTTATTAATTCGTGGTCATTTCTAGTCAAGTAAGGAAATACGTTTTTGAAAATTTGTACTCATCTTGCTTGGTATAAATGCACATTCAAACAGAGAAGTTAGGAATTACAATGTTTGACCTGGAATTGAAATATATTTTTGTAGACATTTTAAAGAAATAATTGACAAACTTCAAAAAATGGTTAGTATTTCCTCTTCCGCTCAACTAATATGTTCATGATTCCACTGATCTCATAACCATCTTGTTTATCTGTAATGCTAGCCTTATTAATATCCTATTTTAAAGAGATTAGTTAAAATAACAGAGATTACTGTTTTCCACGGCTGCTTCGTGATTGGGGTCTTGGGGATGAAGCTTTACTGCTATTTTTAGAGATTTTACAAAGTTATATATTATACCTATATAATAAGTACCGGTACAATAATTTTGTCTTAGAGGAGGTTTGCAATGAAATAGTAAAAAAACCAGCCAAGTCCTGCTAAATTATTTCGCCACTATAAAGAACATACTGCAACTCGTATACACTGTAGTCTGAGTATTAGTTATAACCGCGATAATTGGGTCCTTTAATTCTTTTTCAAGGCTGTAGAGGTTTTTAATTCTGAACAAGCAGCTCGCTTTGAAAGGTCAGGCAGGGATAGTAGAAACAGATTTACCAGTTCAGGTAAGATTGTGATGTAGTATAGCCTGCTTAGATGTGGACATGTTCAGGGTTTCTAAGAATTCAAAGGTAAAGGTACTGGGTACATGTTCAAATGTCCTTAAAGTTAAACTCGAAGATGCATGAATTCTAACGTCTGTCTCTAATCAATGTATATTTTTCTTTTAGATGTCTTACGACGACAACACAGGGCGTCATTTCGCGCAATTCAGGATTTAACAAAAGACAAGGTACAGTGTAGATATTACTCATGATGGTGTAGATATAACTCATGATGGTGTACATATTACTCATGATGGTGTAGATATTACTCATGATGGTGTAGATATTACTCATGATGGTGTAGATATAACTCATGATGGTGTAGATATTACTCATGATGGTGTAGATATTACTCATGATGGTGTAGATATTACTCATGATGGTGTAGATATTACTCATGATGGTGTAGATATTACTCATGATGGTGTAGATATTGCTCATGATGGTGTAGATATTACTCATGATGGTGTAGATATTACTCATGACGGTGTAGATATTACTCATGATGGTGTAGATATTACTCATGATGGTGTACATATTACTCATGATGGTGTACATATTACTCATGATGGTGTCTAAGATACTTTACTACAGAGTACAGTACATATATTCTTGTAGCACTGTTTTGAGATTATGCTGTATGCGGGTTTCATATATTATTAGACAAACATATGTAATAGACCTATATTATTTACTGTTAGTGCATTGAATCCAATGCTTTATCAACAGCTACATTAGGCCAATTACTGTACCATTTTCCTTTTGCAAAATTGTTTTCAGCATTTATTTCACTATCTTCATCTGTACTTTGCTTGGATACTTAAAGCTGGTGCACATCGAGTGACAGAGAAAGTTCTAGAAGGCCCTCCTAGGGTGAGCTATACTTTGTATTCCATCTTTTTTTGAAGTATTCATTTAGAGTACACACTACAACATGAAGAATGAATTCTTGTTTAAATTAATTCATAATTATCTCTTGAACGATAATCAGTAATGTTCACTGCTGCATGCATCAATTGTCTCACTTTCATCTGCATGTAAACTAATCAACATTTCCTGGATGCAGGAGGAACTCCTGACAGATTACGAAGCACAACAAGCAGAGGACAAGTTG